GGTCCCTTTGATGGAGGGACTCAGCTAGTCTGCAGGGATCTGGAAGTGAGGGAGGCAGGGAAGAAATATCTCTCAAACTCAACCAAAGCCAAAGAAGGGCAAAGGAGTGCACAACAGCCTCCTGGGGCACAAAGCAGGGTGAAGGCAGTTGGTGAAAACATCTGCAGGGGCAAACAGATGTTCAGCACCACGAATTTACTGGTGGGAAAAGCCACGATGCAAAATTGTAGGTGTACTACAGATATGTATATACATACACATTAGAAGTAAAATCAAAGGGAAATCCACCCAAAGGCAATATTACTGTTGTGGGGTGGGCTGGGGATTTTGGTGAGACCGAGAGTAGCTGACTTTCAATTACTGATATTGTGGCTGCGTTGCTTTTCTAATAGAACACAATCACTGAAGCAAGCTGAGAAAGTGAACGGGGGAGGAGGTGGGCAGCCTAAGGCTCCCCTCACTCCAAGACAGCCTCTTGAGACGACTTCCGGTATCCCTCTAGTCGCCTCACTTTACAAAAGGGAGAAATGACTTGTTCAGAGTCATAAAGCAGGTTAGTGGCCAACCGGGAGGAAATCTGGATCCCCACCTCCCCACATAGCCTTGCAAACTTCCCTCACCTCTCCATCCATCTCCAAGCACCCAGCCCCGCTTACCCTCCCTCATCCTTTTCCTCTATCAGCTGAAAATCCTCGAGCCACCCCAATTTGAAGCAGCTAAGCAGCCTCACACCCTTAATCTCACTGTCTGAATGATAAATCCTGCAAGACAGCTCATTCCATTCAAGCCCTTCACACTCTCCTTTGAGGAGCTGGGTGGTCTCTTCCGCCGAAGCGGAGGCTGCCTGCCCTTCCTTCCACTTAGCATTCCCCCAGGAGTCGAGGACTTCCCGGGAGCCAGGCATTCGCCTCCAAAACAATATCCAGATACGAACCAGCCCTCCCAGCCCCCTTTCAGGGCTAGACCATAAAATAAAGCCGCGTGGGCCTTGCACCCCTGGACAGGATCCTTTGTCTGGGTTGGAAACAGCCTGAAAAGATGAAAGGGGCTGCCACTCTGACCTCTTCACCCCTTGTTATCTTGTGCCAACTCCCTTTAGACTCTCTGAAGCCGACAGCAGCATTTTCCCATGGTCACTGGGGTTAACAACGTCTCAGCCGCCAGCAGAGAGCGGCATGTGAGGAATGTACCTGCCTAAGGGGCGATTATTTTCATCAAGGACAGGCTGAAATGGATAATGAGGTCAAAAACAAACGCCATCTCTTTCTCAAAGGACTCTCTAAAGAGAGGCTATTAGATATAGTTCATTAGTTGGGGGGGGAGGTAGAGAGCTACTTTTTAAGACTGCTGCTTGAAGAGAGGTGGAGGCGGTTTGCCAAGTTTAGCTTTTCCAAGTCAGTAGGGGGCTAAGTTTAGACTCAGATTCAAGCTTTTCTATATCTGAGTTTCATTCAGGTACAGGCAACAAGTGGACTCAAAGAAAAGATTTGCAAGAGAATGCATTACAGCGATACAAGTAGGGTCCACAGTAAGCCAAAAATAAAAACCACCTAATACCAGAAAATTTGGAAAACTGATGAACTAGAATTTTTTTTGGTGGGAGAGGTAATTAGGTTTGTTTGTTTATTTATTTGGTGGAAGTACTGGAGATTAAACCCAGGACCCCACGCATGCTAACCATGTGCTCTACCACTGAGCTACACCCTCCCCCTCGGACCACAATTTATGTATAAAAATACTTTTTTCATATGTTAACGTCTTTATAAAATGTCTGCTTTCCATTATCATCACCACTATCACCGTAATTCAGGCAGTAACCTCTCACCCCTAGATTGTATCGTTGCTTGTAATGGAATCTGCTCTGCTAAACTCTTTCCCTTCCTGCATCCAACACAGATTCATCTTCTTAAATTGAATGTATCCACGCTCTACTCAGAAACTTTCACTGCTCGCCAAGGCAGGGTGTGAAGAGGTGTGTGCTAGCATAGTGCCTGGGCCGGGTAGTCACCCTCTCCCTTCCCTTTTTCTTTAGATCCATAAAATGAAATTCAAACTCTCTAGATGGCATTTAAAGCTCTCCAAAATCTGAACCTAATTAACATTCAATCTGTAACACCCCCCATTGCACCTTCCCCACACACACATATTTAAAAGACCACTTTCCAGTAATAACCTCGACTTTGCTAACATGGTCTCAAATGTTAGCCTTGGGCAGTAGCAGGGGTGCAATAAATTCCTCTGGGTGTGTTTCGGTTCTTCTTCGGATTTAAATTTCTCATGGAAAAAAATAACAAATGGAACTTCAGGCTTGGTTCGGTTTATGCAGGAATGTCTTGCTTAGAACACTATGCGGAGACAGAGAAGGTCAAGGCCAAATGGGTGAGCTCCCAAGAGTGTCCCCTTGGACAGGAGGGGGTTTGGACATGCACACTCAGACACATACTTGAGAAAAGAGTGCACCCCTCCAAAGAAAGCTACCAAAAAAAGAAAGAAAAAGGGAAAAGAACAAGCTGAGAATAGAGTGCAGTGATTAAGAACACAGATGCTTCCTAACCTGGGCGGCTAATATCCTAACTTCTCTCTAAACCTCAGTTTTCTCACCTGTAAAATGGTGTTAATAATACCTATCTCAAGGTTCTTGTATGAAGAAGGAGATGTGAGGAAAGCACTTAGCAGACTGCCTGGCACATAGTCAGTTCTATAAATGTTAGCTTTGGTGATGGTGGTGATATAGGCTGACACCTGCAAAAGTTGTCCTTTGCATAAAAAGAAGCTGGCTTTCTGTGGAACGTGCTCCAAGCACCCTGATCTGGCTGTGCTCACTCCGGCCTTTGGACCTTTGCTCCAGCTCCTCTCTCAGTCTGGAATGTACTCTCCCCGCCTCATATCTCCAGACTCAGCTCAAAGGACACCTTCCCAGTGCGGCACCCCCAGACCAGCAGAACGAATCCCTCCCTCTGTTAAGGGAGCACAGCTCTATGATAGCAGTTCTCACGCTGTATGTTAATGCTGTGGCCATGCTGGTCTCCAGAGTCAGAATGTTCACTTCTTGATTATTAGCTTTGGAATTCTCAGTGGCCAAAAGAGTCCCAGATCTAGCCCGCCCATATGGGTGCTCAGTAAGCGTTTATGGAAGGAATGAACAAAGAATGTACAAAGGAGCAGCTTATCCCCAACGGTACCTGTATGGCTTCACACCCAATCCACCCACCTGGCCTCTCAACCCTCAACCCTTACCAACACGTGCTGGAGAAGAACCAGCAGTCCCGGAGGATCCTGGAGCCTAACAGGGTACTACTGCATTTTCAGCTGCTGCCTCCACCCCACCTCGTGTGACCTGCTGACCAGATGCCACAAGGAACATGACTCAGTGAGCCCAGTGGATAGTTTAGTACCCAAACTGCAGAATTCAGTTATAGACTAGAGCCCGAACTGCCACTCTAGGAAATGTCTGCAAATCAATCTGTATAATGTAGTTTATCAATAAGAGCAATTTGGTGGACTTGCATCCTCTTTTGCTCCTAGGTAATCTCAGGGGAACAAAATCATAACTGATTACTTGGAATTTTTATCCAGTACTCATGAAAGACACAAAGGATCCTGATTCTTCTCCCTACACTGAGCCCCAATCCTGAGCACCCACTGTGAGATAAGGGGTCAAATTCAAAGGTACAGTCTGTGGTCTTGAAACAGGACAAAGATAGTGGGTTCTCACAGGAATAAAGCCAATGACCTTAGTCTTGTTAGCACCCGTTACATCCAGGTGAACTTGTGGGCCACAGCCAGAGCTTCAGGGTTGCTTGCTGGAGATATAATGCAGGGGGCAATATGGGAGAGGTGATACAAGAGATGAAGATTGTGGGGAGGGTATAGTTCAAGTGACAGAGCACATGCTTAGCATGCATGAGGTCATGGGTTCAATCCCCAGTACCTCCTCTAAAAATAAGTAAATAAACCTAATTACGTCCCTCCCCCTGCCAAAAACAAAAACAAGAGTTGAAGCTTGATCTGCAGTCAGATTTGAATCACTTTAGGGATTAGCACATTGGAATATACAAGTATGTAAGTCTCAGAGCCTCAGTTGCATCATAAACATAATGAGGATGTTAACCTAAGTCAGAGGATGGAGGTAGGAGCAGTAAATGTGATCATGTAAAATGTGTGGTGCAGCGCATACGGGTGCTTCCACAATAAAAGGTACAAGCCGGAGTAACAGTGGTCTAAGGGTGTATGTATGTCTGTGGGTTGGGAAGGGAGAAGGGAAGGGTGGCTGCTCTAGGATGGATGCTGGTCTCCAAAGGCAAGAGCAAGGGGAGGGAATGAAGTGAGAGGTGGCTTTCAAAGGTGATGAAACCATCTATTCCAGAGTCCAGGAATTATCTGTTCATTTAACTGCCCCCACCTTCCTAACCACGCATCCTGCCTTGTTCAGGGCCTGCTCCAGTAGATCCCAGATCCCTCAGGGAGCCTGGGAGAGTCACCCAGTTATGGTTTTATGTTTTAAGATCTGGAGGGAAATGTTAGACGTCATTAAATCCCATTGTGTCATTTTACCAGTGAGGGAACTGAGGCCTGGAGACACTTCTCAAGGATAATGTTCTCCTAGTCTTGCCTCTGCTACTAATGTGCTGTGAGGCCTTGGGCAAGTCACTTTGCCTCTCTGAGCCTCCAGTTTCCTCCTCTGTAAAATGGGGGCTTGCAGTATTCCGACTTCGATTTAAAGTTCCCTTCAACTCCAGTCTTTGCTGTATTAAAATAATGGTTCCCTCTACCACTCTCAGGTTTAGACATTAGATTAACTCATTCCCCCAGCACACTCCCAGCCTCACATACAACAGTCAAGAAAAAAACATATTTGGATAACTTGAGCTCACTTGACTGTAACCAAGTGCTGGTTTTCAGCAGGGCTAAGGACAAGAAGAGATCGGCCACCCAGAGGAGGCTGGTGGTTCCCAGACGCCTGCCGGGTGTGCCCAGCCTCTGTGATCTCGTCCCTGCAGGGCTCCCAAGAGCTGGCAGTGCAGTGGGGATGAATAAGGCCAGCGATCGCACCTTACATGGCCATCCCCAAGGCTGCCTGGAATCCCTGGGATTACGCAGACTTCTGGAAGATTTGGAGCAAGTGCACATCACCTGCTGCCTCCACAAGTGTGCCTGGGTTTCTGCAGCCTCCGTCTTGTGACTGAGGAATTTTTAAATGGAAGCTCTGAGCTCACAAAGAAGAAAATGTCTCCCTGATGTCACACAGTTGCTGCCAATTCATCAGTGCAAGCTAAAGGTCAGAGAGGGGGAAGCCACTGCTCCAGGGTCCCGTGGCTGCTCCCTCAGATGGGGCTTCCCTTCCAGCAGGCTTCCCGCCAGCCACCAGGGCCAACCCAGGGGAAGCCAAGCCGAGGGCTGTTTGCATTTCCAGGGCACGCACAGAGGCAGTTCTAACTCCACTTAGCTGCTTCTGCACTTCCCTTCTCAGACATTAACCACTTCGTCCTCCCAGCCCTCTCTTGCCACCACTTTCTGTAGACAGCCTGCACCTTGGAACCTTGATACAATGCTGTCCTGTGGGGCCTTCCTGGGATCACTTCAGGGGTAAAACCAAATTGCATGGAGGTTCTTTTGGTATTTTAATAGCTAAATGCAGTGATCAAAGAGCAAGACTAGGAGCCCCAGGGCCAAGGATGACAGCTTGGTTCCACTGCTTCCCAGTAGTGTGACATTTGCAAGTTATTTAACCTCTCTGAGCCAGCTTCCTGACCTGGAAGATGAGGATAATAAGAATATTTACCTCATGGTGTTGCTGAGAATTCAGTGTGAAGCACTGATACAGAGCCTGGCATGAAGTGAGTTCTCAATGAATGTCAGCTTGGAAGTAATACTCCCAGCTATAACTGGACGAGTTACTTAATCCTTGAGTCTTAATTTCCTCATTGTCCATCGGAGATAGGCTGATATGTGATTGACAGGGTCGCTGTGAGGATTCAGAATAGAAAGCAATTAACACAGCACCTAGCACGGGAAAAATAAACGGTGACTGCTGGGACTATTATCTCCATCAATCAAACTGTGATCTGTAGGGAAGCCTCGATGTATTCATTATAAAGCCCTTCTCAGAGCCTGACCCAGTCCTTGGCCCCCTACAAGTTGTCATCCAGGGCTAAAAGACGAGACATATGAAAAGCATGTATATGATCAAACATGGACAAAGAAAAAAATTTTTTTAATTAGTTGTAGAGTTTTTCCTTCTTTGGGGGACTGTTTTCAATTCCAGCTGAAGTCTCCAGGGAGAAGAGAGGGATGAAAAGAAAAAGTTACATGAGTAAGAGAGAAGGGATTAACTGGATGACAGCAAGGAGATAGTAGATGGAAAATGAAGTGACGTCAAGGAGGAGGAGGCTGAAATAACTGAGTAATAAGATAGCAGTGGATTTCTCTAGAGTTGGGAGGCACCACAGGCTAGCTCTCTACTTCAAATGTAAGGAATAGGCCTGGAAAGACAATGGCAACCAACCTGGGAACCAACCACAGCCTCGGCTGCTCAGCGTGACTCACTGTGCCTGCAGGTCTCCCTCTCAGGTCCCCTCACGGCCCCCCAACAGACTCCTGCAAGGTGCCCCCTCAGATCCTGTCTGCTGTCAACCCTGCCTGCCCCGCCTCTCCCGGGTTTCCACTCCCCTCCCATCTAATGGTACCGGGAAGTTCTAGATGAACTGTGATAAAGGTGAATGTGGGCTTCTCTTCTGGGCTCCTCTCACCATGACCCAAACGGGTGTGCCCGGGGAAGGAAACACCTCTTTCCCTGTGTTTACCCCTCCTCAGCCTCTTCCCATCAGTCTTTCCTCTTTCCCTTAAGACAAAGGTGTCCAAGACTCTCAGTTTTACCTTTTCATGGGGCATTAACATTTTACTGACAAGATCTAGAGATTCGACATAGATATATCCTATTCTGTAAACACTTCTTAAGCCTATACCCAATTTCCAGGCACTATTCTAGGCTCTTCCACTTCCTCACAACTGCCCTACTACTGCGGGCTGAGGCATCAGCTTTCCACGATGCTTCCCATGGAAAACCTGGGAGAATCACAGTGCCCGACTCTCCCCACCCTCCTGCCCTTCAAATCCAGGCAATGGCCAAGAGTTGTGAGGTCCTGTGTCTCTTGTATCTGCTGGGCCCCTTACCTTAGCCCTTCCTTGTCTGTTACCCTATTCACAGATGCCCCTGCCTCCAGCCTTACCTTCTTCTCCTATCCTACACAGCTGCCTCTTCTTCCTCAAAAGCCCCCTTCATCATTCTATTCCCCCAACTCCAGATCCTTCAATGGTTTCCCCCCAAATTTCATTTGAGATTCTCATAACCCTGCCCCAGTTCTCTGGAGTGGATATGTTCATAGGGCCCTGCCTTACCCATGACAGAGCTTTCAGAGAGGGAAGGAGGGGGCTCTCAGAGTACCAGTCTGACCAGAGGGGCTATGTACACAGGAGGGCTGGTGCAAGGTGGCCGGGGTGAAAATCTGAATCATAGTCAATGAGGGCAGCCAAATTCCTATCTGGGAAATCAGGGCAGTCTGAAGGGTGAGGCCAAGCTGTAAACAGAATGAGTAATGAGGTCAGAAGCTGGTGGGGACCAGAGTCATGTCTAGATGCAGTTCAAGGAAATGGAAATGGTACAGGACTGAAGCTGTGCACTGAATTATAAGAAGGTACTGGAGACCTGCTTCACTGCTTTACGTGGGGATGGGATGGGAGGAGCAGCCCTCGAACTCCCCCTTCCCTCTGGCTTCGCTCTTTGGTCTTTCCTGTGTGTGTGTAAGGCCCTATCTTCCCTGCTGCCTACAGTTTCACACCCTTCACATGCCCCCAGCACTGCTGAGACTTGTCCAAGGTTGCAAGGTGGTGGATGTGGAAACAGAGCTACATCTCCCACCTAACAGGGGACGTGCTCCAGAGGCAAGCTTTAACTCATGTTCGTAGGTTGGCAGACTGCTTCCCATCTCCGTGTCGCAGATTCCTCATTTGTAAACGAAGGATAATAATAACACTACTTCGTAATAGTGTTATATAATAATCACACTAGTATGACGATTAGCCAAGCAAATATTTGTAAAATGCTTACAACAGTGCTTGGCACATGGTAAATGCTGTATAAGTGTTAGTTAAACAAAAATAAGGTGCCCAGATGGTAAATAAGGCCAGTACTCAAAGTCAGTTCTAATTTTAACATTCGAGCCCTTAGATCCTCCACCACTAAGGTCAACAGCAGGTTACAATGGACTAAGTTGACTAGAGGACTTTCAAAAATTAATTTTCATTTCAACTAAGAATAGAAAAACGTGCTGATAGCTTATTTTACTTGGGCACACAGGAAATATCACTTGAGTGACTATCCTTACCTGTTCTTAGGAAACCACTAAGAAATCCAGAAGGACCAGTGCAAATAATAGTACCTATCCCAAATTTAATAGACTTTGCAAAAAAAGAAATGTTAGACTTAGAAAATGACTGTGGAGGGGAGGGTATAGCTCAGTGGTAGAGCACGTGCTTAGCAGGCACGAGGCCCTGGATTCAGTCCTCAGTATCTCCATTAAAAAATAGGTAAATAAATAAACCTAATTACCTCCCTCCCAAAAAAAGAGGTAAAAAAGAAAAGAAAAGAAAACGACTGTGGACCTCATGAAGAAACAGGAATTAAGGAAGCTAAATTGAGTCTGGCCAAGTTCAAGGCTACGGCTCATGTTGGAAAGGTAGCTGAGAGCAGATAATGCAAAGAGAAGGAAATAGTATCATATTTCTCTTTTGCAAAACAGTCGAGGGGAGGGTGTTTGGAAAGCAGAGGGAGAATGTGACTGTACGGATTGTAAAATGATTTTAAAAAATGGACTCAGTGTAGTTACAGTTGAGTAGCATTCAAAGAAGAGAGTGCATAAGTCCGCCCCAGCTCTCTATCAACCAGAAATCTTTATTAACTGAACGTCTCTCACAACTACAGTATAGCACTAATAGATGTTCGAAAATGATGACCCTGAGACTGCAAAACAGCTTTCTGAAACAAAGGGAAAAAGATTAAATGAAGCTTGGTATGGTTTGTGACAAATGTATTTTATTGCATTCTAATTTTTCCAAAACAAGCAATATTTTTGTCAGCTGTAGTATATGGTGATTTATATGCCATCTAATAACTTTCTACCCATCATACTATGAGAACAATACGTTGCTTGATGATGGTGGGTATCAGGGTTGAGTAAGTATTCCGTTTCTCTAAATATGCTTTTCCTTGCTTCCTTGTTCTCACCCCCTTCCCTTTATGCCTGTCTCTGCTAGAACAGGATTTTGTTTTAGGTCCAGACTTGACCCAATGGTCTTATACTATTTTTATTCTTCCCTTAAAAAGAGGGTGTCCCTGGCCTCTTAGAAACCACTTACCCTTACTCGAACAAGTTTCACACTCAGGGTGCAGGTTCTGAGGTGGGTGCTCTCTTGCTCGTAACAGGCAAGAAAGGACACTGCCCTGGGTAGAATTTTTAAAAATAAACGCATCTCTTGGAAGGTAGTGTCCTCAGAGAGCAGGGCCACGACAGCTGAGTGGTGTGGAGCATGTGGCTTAATTCAAACAGAAACAGATCCTGCCAGGTGGCCCAGGGACTCCCTAGAACACAGAGCAGAATGGCCAGGGTGCCCGCAGGTCCCCGGATCCCGCCCCACACGCCAGGTTCTCCCGCCTTTTCTAATCACCGTCCCATTCCTCTCGCTCCCCTTAGCAGCCTGCAGCTCAGGGCTCTGCATACCACAGGGGTCAGACACAAATAAAATCCATACATGGACTCTATTCTCGGGTCACAGAATTTGGTTAACGACTCAGACTGAAGATGGCTCTGGCTCCCACCTCCCTTCCCCACCACAAAATCTCTGCCGGTAAACACCAGTCACTTAGTAACACCCCCAATCAATCGCCTTTGGGCCATTATTCATCACCGACTAACCTTAAACCAACTTCTCTTCACAGGCCTCCCCCCAGAAGAGAGGAAATTCCACAGCACTGATGTGATGGGAAACGTGATCTGCACTCTTTCTTTCTCACTCTCCCCGGCCAGTTCCCAAACTGGGTTTCCCTGGTCCCCCTGGAAGCGGCCTTCTCCTCTCCCCTCTCCTCCCTCCTCCCTCTCCCTCTCCATTTTACACACTGTAACCTGATAGGCTGGAAAGTCAGCTTCTTTCATCTTCCATTTCCCACATCCTGAAAGTCTGTAGAGAAGGAGCCCACCCAGATAAAGGAATTCCAAGTATGTGCACCCCCTCCCCCTTTAACTCCATTCACAAAGCAGATTACTAATGGCCCGAAGCTCCAGGGAGGCCCTACCCCACTCCCCACCCCTGGCCTCCAAAGAGTTTACTCATCCACATCCTTCTCACTGGCACAAAAGCCCAAGTCCACAGGCCCAGAACCAAAAATTAACTTTTCCCCGGACTCGGATCCTAGGGAATGCTTTCAGACTGCACCCCAGTTGGGACTGCAACGGCTACGAGATTCTGTCTACCATTCATCTGTGCCCTCTCAGGCATTTCGAGATAAGAGGGCTCAGGGAAAATGTGTCATTGGATCAGGGGAAAAGATATAAATGTAACATGTGATGTTTCAAGGAGACACGCTCATGTCTTTGGGAAAGATCACAGACTGTTCTAATCCAGAGACATTCCTTTGTGACAGAAATTGTTTTGAGGCCAGAGGAAAATATGCTTTATTTGAGGGGCTAGGCAAAGATTGGGTGTGTGTGTGGGTGTGTGTGCGTGTCTGTCTTGGGGAGGGAAGTTCTGTTAACATTTTTGTTAATACATTTCTTGAGTTGAAATATCCTATTGTCATTCCTCACTACCTGGAAATCAGCATTTACAAAACATGCCCCCTGGGTCAGTTCTTTATTTGCCTCATCCAGAGTTCTGTCACTGCCTGCCTGCTTCTCTGACCTCAGCCTCAAAGGTTAGGAAGTACCCCCCAAGCATCCCCTTTCATTAAGGATGAAAAACTATCTTATCCATCCTTTAGGGATGGTGTAAAGCTGTTTTGAATCTGTACCAGCTCAGGGATAATCAGTCCCTTGAATTTACTAATCACTGTATGGAAAAGGATTTCCTATATCAAGGAGTGCTCCCCAGTCCTGATATCAGGGAGTATCTTTAGTAGATTATTGATCCATATCATCTTTGCAATTCACAGGATCACAGGATAGTTGGCTAACTTGCTCAGTGCTCTAGTATTGGACCGAAAATATGCGAATGGCCAGGCCAATGTGAGTGCATTGGGTCATGCATTCAATAGATCTAATTTTTGCCCAGAAAGTCTCCTGGAATTTCAAGAAGAATTTGAGAGGCCAGACCTGGAAGATGCAGTAACAAGGATAAGAAATAACAGACTGTGGCAGAACAGCCACATGGCAGCTCCTTAGTTCATCCCTATGGTGCTGAGGAGAAATCTGTACTGTAGCTCAGCTCCAGGACTGGGCCCATGTTTGCAGTCCTCATGTAAGAGCAGCCTGCTCCGATATCTAGCTGGTAACAGGCTCCTACATGGGTTCAGCCTCCCTAGATAGAAGCACCATGAAGGGATGCCTGCAGCTCGGAGCAGGTATTATTCTCTGAGGCTCAGTTTCCTGTTCTATAAAATACTAATCCTTGCTAATCAAAGTTTGGTCCCCAGACCAGCAGCAAGTTTTCACCTGGGAGCTAGTTAGAAATGCAGGATTTCAGGCTCCACCCTGAAACCTACTGCATTTGAACAGGAACCCCAGGTGATCCCTGTGCACATTACAGTTTGAGATGCTGTGGCCTAGACTCAGGATCTCCAAGGTCTTCTTTCTAGTTCTGAAATTGTCTGAACTCATTAAGTGGTTTCCAAGGAAGTTTTTCTTCTCTAATAAATAGTTTTCCTCCTTTCTTATGCCTCCACTCTTGGCACTTACTATCTCCCCTGCCAAGGAACTCAAATTTCAGTAAGCATCAGATGTGCATGAAGAGCTTGTTTAAGATGCAGATCCTGAACTCCATCAAGAAATGCAGAGTAGGACTGCTGTGGGACCAGAGATTCTGCATTTCAGCTAGCTTCCTCCTGGTAGATCTACAGATTATGGTCCCCAAATTACATTAAATTTTTTTATTATGGAAAAAAATTTTAGCATACAAAAGATAGAAAAAATAGTAATAATAACAAATCATTTTTCAATACCCGGCTTCAGCAATGATCAACTCCAGGACAATTCTATTTCACTCACATTACATTGGAAAGACTTTGGCATGTAGATCTTCCCAATCTTCGTTCCCTGCTTCCAGCCTTTTAAGGCTCAGTTTATTCTCCCCAAGGACAAGAGTTGTGTGATAGTCTTGGAATCCCCAGTACCTAATACTGTGCTTAGCACATGCAGACACTCAGTACGTGAATACAATAATACACTGAAAAGAACTCTGAAGTAAAACATAAACTGGAGGTTTAAACTGGAGATAAACAGGGATTATCTGACCTCTCGTTTTTTCAGTTCTTTGCCTGTGATTCCTTATTCAGTTGGAGAAACTACAGCTTCAAGATGCATCTTTCCCAGTGAAAGAATCAAGAAAAAGTTTCCAGAAGTCCTGGTTCACATCCCTTTCCTTCTAGTCTCAACATTAAAAAAAAAAAAACGATTTTGTGTCTGTGTGTGTGTGGTAAGGGAGAGGGTAGGAAAATACCTCTGGGGCATGAGGATGTTGTCTCATGGCCTTTGTTTTACTCTTTAACCTGGTAATAAATCTCTTAAAGCTCCTGTGGTATTCAGAATATCCTGGACATGGCAAGGTCTTCCCACAGTTGTGAAAGGAATTTAGGTTTACTAAGTGAACGGAGCACTGATATCCCAAAGGCACAGTCCTGCTCTTGTCACCTATTTGCTAATTATAAAGGCTAAATCTGAGATGGGTCTGCTAAGGAACAGGGGGAGAGTAAGGGACGGCAGGACCAAACTGAGAACAGAACTCTGCAGTTCCAAAACTCAGCACAACAATCAGGGGATGAAGCGGTAATTAGGCCTGATTATCATGCAAGGCAGCCCTGGTTAAATTGGAATGTAGCCGGAGAGACGAAAGGCTGGATGGAGAGTTTGCTATGCTGGAGACATGCTTTGATGTCTGCAGGGAAGGTTATGTTTCATTCAGCCATCCACCCAACCAAAAAAAATGTTGCAGGAGCAACATGAAACCTTTTAAAACATAGCGTACGGTAAGCTGAAGAGGAGAGTGAGTGGCTGGGTGCGAGTTCTCCTCGTGGAGCGTGTGTTTGTGTGCACGCGCGTGTGTTCTTAAATGCCGCTTTTCTCAGATTTACCGCTGCAGCATCTTGGATCTGTCAGAAGACAGGAAAAGAGAGAAGGAGCACACGCTCCGACGATTAACTCAGCATCCTTAGCTTAGCAGATTCTTATGACAAGGGAGAGAACGCATCTAAACTCAGGGCAGCCTTTTTAACCTGCTGTGGGGAGAAAGCAAAGGAAACAGAAGTAAATGACTGTGTTCCTGAGAGGCCCAGAACTAGGATCATAGATGCGGATGGAGTCAGCTGAGGCTGCCAGCTACCACAGCTTTTATACCAACTGATGAAGGAGAAGGAAATGAGCCACGAAAGTAGGTTAATCTCCCAGAGAAACACAAAATAGGTAGCAAGTAGCATTTTTACACCTTTCACTCTTTAATTGCTTCAAACCAAGGCTGTGAAGTGCAAGGAATTCCTTCTGTGTCCTTACCTTACCTCTCTCAGCCTTTTAGGGATATCCCCTGTTCTAACACAGTTTTTGTATCTGAGCTGATTGCTCAGCTCGGTGCCCTCCCCAGAGCGACCAACAACTTTCACTTCTTGCAAGGGATTTTCAATACAACTTGGTATTGAGAGCCGATGAAGTTTTCGTTATTGTTTTAATATTCACAAAGTGCTCACCATAGGAAGTAGGATGTGCAATCTTGCTTTTGCATTAAGAAAGTCCATGAAAACACAAAGATCTAACCTGGGAAATGAAATGCGATTTCTATTTCATAGGGATTACCAAAATGAGACCCACTATACCATCCGGACACTTAATTCAATATTTCTTTTCAAAAGGGGTAAGTAAGTTGTTGATGAAGTTATCCTGGAAGAATTAAAAGAACATATATTATATATCCAACACACCACTTCTTGGATTTCTCAAGCTCCTCCTCTACATCTGTAATGGACCATCCACAGAATCAGTTATTTTTGCTGTGATTTCTTCTGTTATTCCAGTTTACTCTTAAGACTTGTATAAAATAATAATGACATGTATTTACCATGAAGGAAAGAGTCCATGGAATAACTACAGATGCAAAACTTCTATTGCATCCATCACTATTTGATATTGCTACTCTACTTCAGAAATCGTGAGTAAAGAATGATGCTTTGATGTACTAGGCTGTTCCTTTTTTCCCTCAGTTTTACTTGATTTAGGAGAAACTCTACTTAATCCCTTCTATAAAATTCCCTGAAATTACTCTTGCAGTGAGCAGCATGAATCTAGGATAAATTGCACAAGATGAAAATACCGTTTCAGCTATCTTATTTTGTATAGTATTTGAAAATGAATTGTGAAGTTTTGTTTTTACTCAGCATAAAAAAAGGAGGGGAGAAGGGGGAGGAAAGAGTCTTAGCAGCTGTGTGTGTGTGTGTGTGTGTGTGTGTGTGTGTGTTTTAAATAAGAAAATAGCATTCCCCAGAATTTCCAGTAAAACCCATAAGATTTAGGCAGTTCATCCCTAAAGTATGTGTGGGATGCTGGGAGCTCCCTGGCTTTTCCAGGCAACCCCACCCCCAAAAAAACTCCCTGCAAAAAAAACAAAAGCAGATGGGCTGCATCTGAACGAATCAAACTCCCCAGGGGCCAGAGCTCTCTGCTCTAAATGCTAATACAGTGAGTAATCAGAAACCTACATTTGGTAAATTATTTATCTTATCTCTGGAACTCAGCAAAGCATCGAAGGCAGCAACTTCTGTAGAAAGATGTTGTTAGTCAAGAACTCCAGCTGGAATTTGTACTTTTACTAGAAAAGGGAAAAGTTCAGAGACTGGAGTGGCTCATGAAGCAATCATTTTATTAAAAAATGACCACAGGCAAAGCCAAGGAAAACTGACTTCAGAGTTCTGTGGAACAGGTCTGGTTCATGTTTTGTCTAATGGGCCTTATGTTCCATCCGTATGAGGGTAATGGCAAGGGAAACCAATAGATAATAAAGATGCCTGAAGAGCTGGGAATAGGTTCCCGCACTCCCCATCTCCACCGTTCCCTGGCAAAGGGCAGCTAGCCAGAGTAACCGGAAGCAGTGGTTCTGAAACCTGAGCTTCCTGCATCAGAATCATCTGGAGGGCTTGTTAAAACTCTTGCTGGGCCCCATCCCCAGAATTTCTGCTTGTGCAGGCTTGCGGGGGTGGGGCCTGATAATTTGCATTTCTGCATTTGGAACAAGTTCCCAGATGCTGCTGTTGCTGGGTCAGGGACCACACTTTGAGAACCACTGGCCTGGAGATGGGGGTCATTCTACAATTTGGTTTGGTTTCTGTAGAATCTAAGCACCTTTCCTTGGGATAAGGTATGGAGATTGGGAGGTTTAAGGGCTTTGACTGAGATTTTAACTGTGGAATTAGCCCTAGAAATGACCTATTCACCTATTTTACAAAACATAATTAACTTGATAAATCAGTTCCATCCCTGGTTAACATTATAACAAATACGCTTGCTTTGTGTTCCCCACAGTCCCAAGTACTTTTGAGTTCAATCAGAGTTAGGCAAATAAAAAAGTACAGGTTTCATTTGAATAAATATGA